TCAAGGGGATCGTCGCCAGCAAAGTTGCGCGATTCCAGGACGATGAGCGGTAGAGGCAGGACAGGAGGTTCATCAAGCTCTTTATCAAACTCGTAAGATTCTTGTTACATTTTGAGGGGAGGTCGGCATAACCAAACACCTTATCTCGGTGGTTGGTAGATGGAGGAGTAAACGGATCAGGATCAGATCGAGGGCTACGAGCATATTTACAACCAAGGGATTGTATTCGATGTTTCCAATGGCAGTTATACTGTTCTAAATAACTCGACTTCTATCTTTTAGACGGATGCTCCAAGCTCGAGTTGTATGCGTAATGCTGGTCGTAACATACAAGTGTTTAACGACGAAAATGCTGAGGAACAGTAGCTGCCACCCATCACCAACTACGAACGTCGATGGAACAACCATTGAGATTCCCTCCAAACTTTGTGCCTAAATTTTTAATTTTCCTTTTAAAGTTGTTATTTTAATCAATTGAATGTTAGCAAAGGCCTTAAATAGCATTTGCCTATAACGGTAATAATATGTATTATATGTTTCAGAAACAAAAATATAAAGCTATAATAACAAAAAACGCAGGAATTGGTGTTCTTAGGTCCAAAAGAACCTAATTATCATTAAATTAAATATATAAAAATGGTCAAATTTCAAAAATTTCAGGTGTGAATTCCATCAGATTCGAAATTTTATTACGATTTCAACGATTGAAGCCATTCCTTATTTGGAAGAGTACTTGCTCAGATATTGCTAAAAAAAAACCGGGTTTTCTGGGCAACTTTATTTTGTTTTGGGGGAAAAAAAACTATTATGTCTATCAAGTATAAGTTGGAAAAAATAAATACATGTGCTGATATGAGTGTGTGGTTCTAAGAAACAAATGTAGGTAGTTTAAGATTAGGTAAAATCATCTGGTTTTATTTGTCTACATACTTAGAAAGGTAGCTGAAAAGAATGTGGAGGTAGGACTAGATTCTAATTATGTTGTTATCTGTTATTACTTTCCCACCCACAGCAGACTTCCGTGGCCTCCTGCTCCGGGCGACTACTGGCTGCCCCGAAACAAGATCGCCAATCATCGCATTTGGGAGAGCATAATAACCGAATTTACAAATTAGAGAGTCCTCTATGCCGCCACTTGAAATCCAGTACGGGAGTGGTGAAATATTGGACACTCGGCCGGGACGCACACCCCCCACCCAACACCCGATCCTCCCGCTCCCACTCCACCTTCTGCCAAATGCTAATTTGAGTGCTCCACATTTCCAAGGGGAGCGGGCGGGGAGCCTGGATTCGGATTTGGATTTGGATTTGTAATTGGATTCAAGGGACGCCTGATTGGACGGGGCACTCGGTGCTCCAAAGGGTTTGCTGGTGTCGGGTGGCCTGGGCGGGTGGACCGACCGGGCCTATAAGTAGGCTAGCATTGCTTAAAGGATCTCGCTTCGCCCGAGTCCTGCAAATTGGACGAGTGCGAGGGGAGGGTCCTTGCTCTGATGGAATCGGACAAACGGATGCGTAATGTCGCCTCTGCAAATGAATGAGTTCAACTCTGCTCCGTGTGTGTGTGAGGGTGTGTGTGTGTGTGTTTGTGGTGTGCGTGCATTGAATGTGGCTTGTTTTACACTCGAGCGCATTTGAATACGTTGCTAATGGGATTTTGATGATGACAATGTTGCCGTTGTCCCCTTCCCCTTCCCCCACCACCACCCCCTCTTCGACCATCCACTCTGCATGTTTTCTGTCGAAATGCCGCTCCACGAAAAAGGAGTCCATCCTCTGGGATCCGTCGGGGAACTTTAACCGCACTGGAGTGCCTCGACTTGTTCTTAAACAGTTTGAATGCCGCCCGTCCCGAGGAGAGCCGCATTATGTCGCCCTAGTGCGTACAAGTACATAATGGCCAGGAACCCCTCCCCCTTTCCATCTCCGCCTGCCCGCCCAATTAACCCCCGCAGCACGGCTGGCGAACCCGGCCGGATGACGACAGCAGTCCGACAACACGGCCACGTCGAGCAGCGCAGCATAATGTGCCACTCACTTCCGTTCCGGCGGAGTCCCCAAAGAACGGCAAAGATTCCGCCCCTCCCCCCTCCACCTCCTCCTCCTCCTCCTCCCGCTCCCGGCGAAGGACCTTTTTGTGAGGACACACACCTACACACCAACACACCTATACACCAACACACCTATACACACACAAACGCAGAGACAGCCGGACTACATAAGCAAACGCCTGTTCCTGTCACCGCTACCCCTCTCCCTCCCCCTCCCCCCGTCCCCTTTTCCACCTCTCCCTCTCTCATCTCCCCTCCCGCTTCCTCCGGACGGAAAACCGCTCCTGCTTCCACCGCCGCCACATTTGCGGTTACGTTTTCATGCCACTGCGCGCCATTGCCACACAGCCACACAGGCACACAGACACGCACGCACACCGGTGCAGGAGCTGCAAGGACCTATGACCTGCCACCCACCCCCCACCCCACCCCACTACCACCTCACCCCCTCGGCCACCACTCCGCTGCTGTTTACTTTTTACAGGTTGCGGCTGCGGTCGCTCTGCGCGCTGCGCGGTGGTTGGTTTCCCTCCGACAGGGTGGCCCCTGTACAGTAAACACCCTTCCCGCGTCGCGAACCTTTTCCATGTTTTAGTTTGCCGCGCCAGTGCAAGTTGTACAATTTGGGCGTGTCGTTCAAATACCGCAGCCCGTGGGTGGCCCAACTCCGTCCATTCCCCCTCCCCCACCCCCTGCCGTTCCCGAATCCTCCGCTTCCTCGCCGACTGCTCACGCAAGCTTGAAAGAGTCCAAAACCCAGGGGACTCGACAGCAAACAGCAGACAGCAGACAGTAGTGCTGCCCGAAACAGGATGGTAGGTAGGATAGCCAAAAAGGACTGGCTTATAAGGCTAAAAAGTTACTTGATTCAAACTTAACTCTAAAACAAGGAGATCTTGGAAAGACCTCTTAAACTCGATTGTATCTTATTCTATTGTTTTAATGAAATCGATCATTAAATAGTTAAGGTTTTGACTATAACTGATTTATTAGTCTATTAATCTATTAAACTATATGAAATACTTTAGTTAGTTTAGTTTCGGCTTCCTTGAAGCCGGTTTCTCATCGCTCATCGAGCCCCAGACGTTTGCACAGTCCTTTGTCGAGTTGCACGGGGTCCTTTGGCCGGGACAACTTTATTGGACGGCCGACACCGCCCCACCGGCCATTAGAAGCCGCTGGCGAGAACCACCCCAAAAAGTTGAGCCACCCCAAACCGCCGTAGAACAGGGAACATGGCTTATTGTCGGCCTCAGTTGGCTTCGGTGTTGGCACGTTCGATTATTTGTGTCTTAATTAGCGTTCGTTGAGATTTGTTGTTGATGTAATAAACTAATAAGCACCGCGGCGGGCTGCCCCACCTGGCTGCACCTTAATTGCAATTCAATTGTCGGTGGCCGCGGCAAAAGTTTTGTTCAATCTTTTATTGGTTCTGCCGGCGGTTCTGGAGGGGAAGCCACGCTGCTAGTAGGAATGCTAATTGGCCGGCATGAGCGAACGAGTTTAATAATAATAATTTGGCCAGCTGATTAGCCGTGCCACTCGGCTCGTTTCCACCCATTCAGTTCCATTCAGCCCACTTAGGCCCATTCACAGCCATTCGGGCCTTGGCTAATTCGAGTATTTGTGGCTGTCAATCTGTCGATGATGTGGAATCGGATGGGAGATCTTTCGGCCGCCAATCGCAGCGCAGAGTTATTAGCACCTTATTTTCGGAGCACTTAGCGCAAATTGAATTGGACTCGGGTGACACACCGCCGTTGACCCCGGACTTTCAGGCCTTTCAGGCGAACTGGTGCGGCGGAAAGGTGTCCGCTCGCATGGGATGTGTCGAATGGGGCAGCATTAACTGCGAACCCATTAAGTGCTCAATCAAACGGGAGCTCATTAGGCGCAAGAAATGCACTGGCAATCGCTCCAATCACCGATTGATAGCCCGTTGATTGGCCGCACTTGCGGTGCTCTACCGTTATGGAAATCGGGCTGTTTAGCTCATTAATAAGCACTTTATCTAAACGCATCCAGGGCGGCGAGCGGTCAGAGCGCAATTACAGAAATGAGCCGTCCGCTCGGTCCGCTCGATCCGCCGCTGTCACCAGATAGCTGGTCACTCGGCGCCGCAGCACGTGTTAAGTGGCGCTTTAACTGCACTTAATTTGCCTCGAATGGCGGCAATCAGTGCGACGGGATATGAAAGCTTGCCTGGCCGAGGTGACCCGTGCCACCCGTGCCACCTGTCTCACCTGTGCCACCGCGGTGGTCAGCGCCCAGTGATCGTTGATCGGTGGATGGGGCTTAGCTTCCTTCCGCCGATCGCTGGGTTCAGGAACCTTCCTGCCTCCCGTTCTGTTGATGGCCAATCAATGCAAATCGGAAGGCAATCGCCCTGGAATTAGCGCGCGACAACAAAGTCAACAGTCGGAAGTGGCCGCTCATCGATCGCGGGCCCTTTACCGCTCTCCAACGCACAGTGGGTCCCATAGATTCAGCAGCAGTTCAATTCTTGTATCTATACAGTTGAATGAATGTATAGGAATTATTTGAAATCTTAAAACCAAATTAATCACGTAGGGTAAAAATTATCATTACTTTTGTGTTCTGTCCAAGAGAGTAGGTTCCATTGAAAATATTAAACAAGCCTAAGAGTAAACTAAAGTAGATGTATTTTCCACACTTTTCCCAACCCACTGAGCACTGTGAATTATCTGCCAATTTACATGCGGCGGCCACAAAGCAATAGCTGATATCTTCATCGCCCATCAGCCATCAGCCATCAGCCATCGGTCATCCGGTTTGGGCCGGGCCAAGGGCTTCCTGGCGGCCAGCGACGGCAGCACTTGCTCCTAACGATTTTAATTAATATTTTAACTAACTATTAATAGCGGAGGCATCCGGCGCAGCTCCTCTACCTCCGCCACCCACTTCCCACTTGCCATTGGCCACTTGCCACTACTTCTTCATGGATCGGAGGATGAAGGCGCGCGCCCGGTGGACGCTGGTGTAGACGCCGGGGTAGCGGGCGTCGGCGCAGCCCAGGCCCCAGGAGACGATGCCGCAGAGCTGGTTCTGGAAGATCGCCCCGCCGCCCGAGTCGCCGGAGCAGCTGTCCTTGCCGCCGGAGCGGGCGCAGAAGGAGGAGGCGGAGAGGGAGTCGCGGTTCTGGTAGGCGCGCTGGCACTCCCGCTTGCGGATCAGCTGGATGGTGGCGGTGCGCAGCTGGTTGGAGGGGCTCGAGTTGCCGTAGCGGGTGGTGCCCCAGCCGGAGACGCGCATGTAGTCGCCCACGTTCCACTGCACCCGGCAGAGCGGCACCGTGCTGATCCCGCTGCCGGTCAGCGCGCTCTGCAGCCGCACCACGCCCACATCCCAGTTGAGGCTGGAGCTGCTGAAGCCACTCGGTATGAAGTAGCGCGCCACGCGCCGCACCACCCCCGCCTGGCTCAGCTTGCTGACCCCGCCCTGCACGGTCATCCTGCCCGGCTGGTAGCCCTTGAGGCAGTGCGCCGCCGTGACCACGTGCCTGCCGCTCACCAGGGAGCCGCCGCAGTAGAAGGCCCCGTCGTAGCGCAGGTTCACCACGAAGCCGCCCACCGCGGACAGCGAGGTGGCGGTGCCGCCCACGATCCTGGGCTGGATCTGCCCGCCAACCAGGCCGAGGAGCAGTTGGAGGATCAGCAGAAGGAGCGGCAGCAGAGGGCGCCACATGGTGGAGGCATCTGGTCGCCCGGCGGGTGGCTCTGCTGCTTTTATCGCTGGGGAAACGCTCTTGGGGAGGCAGAACTTTCAGCTGAGCAAACACCTTTCTTTCCACTGGAAGTGGGAGTGGGAGTGGGAGTGGGTCACAGTCGCGAGGTGGCAACATGTGCGCAATGACCTTGAGGTGTTGGCAAAAACAGATATTCGATTTGGGTAGATCTAGATCAGGCGAGAGCAACACGCACAACTGGGAAAGGTCAGGTGGTGATGGAGTTCAAGATGCTGGTTCTGAAAGCAGTGGCGAAAACAATTAAATAAACAAACAGCAAAATATATGAATGGCTCAGTTAAATAAAATACTACTTATTATACGAGTAGCTTGAAATAAATAGTAATATTTACATATTTTATTTATTTATTTTTCTCTATACTCAAAAGTTGCAAACTTTAACTTTAGACGGGGATCAGCCATATTATACAAGTATAATATCAAAATACTATTTAAAATACGAGTAGTTTGAAGCAGATAGTGCTACTATTTATTAAACGAGAATGTATATCTATATATATATATATTTATATTATTTTTTTAATTATACAAGTACATATAATATAAAAATACTATTTAATATACGAGTAGTTTGAAGCAGATAGTGATACTATTTATTATACGAGAATATATATCTATATATATATATTTTTATATTATTTTTTTAATTATAAAATTACATATAATATAAAAATTCTATTTATCATACGAGTAGTTTGAAGCAGATAGTGATACAAGTAAAGCCAGGGAAACCAACTTTCTTACCACAAGAAATTTCCCTTGAAGTCGACGCATTCCAGAGCCCATGAGCCGCAGTCCAGCTCCTTATCCGCCATCAGCACCTTTAGATCCCCACAAAAACCCAAATGGAGCCCGCGTCTGCTCGTTGTGAGTCATAAAACGGGGCGGATTGGCTGGAGATTTCTGGCGGCAGATAAGAATGCGACTTCGCAGAGTCGAACTCGAAGTCAAAGTCAGGGAGATGGCAGTGCCCTTTGGCTTCGCTTGGCCAAAAACAGCGCATTCCGCGCCGCGGAGGGAAGCCCCACCAGAAGAAGGGCTACCACATTGGGTTGGAGTCGGCCGACTCGGCTGACTTGGAGGCCTCCTGGCGTCCGGACTTGGCTGAAAGCAGGGCGTCTGGGCCGGGCTACACCTCCTGGCGGCCGGCGACCTTATCGCACCCATTAATCTGGCAGGCCGGGAAAAGAAATGAGCAATAACGAACCAAATGAGGCGAGCCAAGATGGTGGATGTCCCCCCTCCGCTCCCTACTCTCTGCTCCTTGCTTCTTGCTCCTGCGGCAGGCAACGTGGCAACATGGCGGAAACCTAATGAAAAGCAACCCCGCGAGGGAGAGCGGCGAGTTAAATATTATGACCAGGTCTGAAAGGCCCGCTTTTTGCACCACGGCTTGCCCCATACGCAACGCCAACAACAACAACAAACAGCGGGGAAACCAAAAACAAAAACAACAACCGAAAGTACGGAAACCGAGAGAGAGAAAAAATATGAATTTTTTACGATCTCAAGTCATGCAAAAAGCGAAGCGAATCAGAACGCGCTGCGCATTGGACGTGAGTCGCGAACGCTTCGTGCGGTTCGATGATGGCGGCCATGGAGGGTTAACGTCATCCCCCCTCCCCTCTCCCACCCCCCTCTCTATCCCCAGTCCGTCCCTTTGGGCCACGTTTGGGCTTCGGCCCGGCCATGCACTCCTTTTTCTTGTGCGCGAGATAAGAGCGATTTTGTGCCTTTTTCTACTTTTTGTGCTTTTGTGTTTCTGTGCTTTTTGTGTTTTTGTGTTTTTGTAATGCGGCGCGCTGTTGTATTTGGCTCGAATTCCGTGATGGCGAACATCACACAGAGAGCGGGAACCTCTGGCTCTGGCGGAAATGTTTGACAGACACGTAATGCCCTCGCCGCAGTCATACATTTTCTATTCTTTGCATACGTTCAGCGCCGCCGCCCCTTCTCCATTTCTAAGCCACCTCGGTATCGAACGCTTTTCCCCCTCCCCCCTCCGCCTCCCCATTCCCATTTCAATTTGCAACCTTCGGGTTCGGAAAAGCGAAGCTGAAGGAACTGCCGATGGAATTTTATAATGAACATCCAGGGGGCCTGACATTTTGTGCTGCTAAAGTGCAGTTAAGGAATAATTGTTGCTCTAAAAAACAGCAGCGAAACCCATAACTAAGGAGCAGCAGCAGCAGCAGAAGTGGAGCAAAAACTAGAGGAGCACATGGCACAATGGAATGGGCGAGGGGGAGGGGCGGGGGAGGTGTTGCTGCTTGCGAAGGGAGACACTCCAAAGGTCGTAGCATCCGGAGGGGGAGGGGGGATGCAACAATGCAAAGCAACCGGAGGCAAAGAAACATGAGAATTTTGCACAGTGTGTGTCTGCAATTTGAAAATAAATTGGCTTGCAGTATTAACAAAGGCCATGTGATGTGACGCCTCCATGGTCTCATCTTCCCATCGATTGGAGCACACAAATTCATAAGTATTCAGCTCTTAAGCGATTCTGAGTCTCGCACTAATTGTGGGCAGTCAACTGCAATTTTCAGATTCAAGATATTTAAACAGAAGTTGCAATTGTAAGAGAGGGCTGATGTACAAATGAGTTTTTCTGGCAGTACTTACACATAATGGGATCCCCTAACTCGCCCGCCTGTAAATCTGTAAATGCACTCCAGTAGAAATCAAACCAAGCCCAAAAATGTGAGAGCTCAGCGGGTTTTCCATGGGAGGGAGAGAGAGTGTCTGGCTGGCTGGCGGGAAGGCGGGAAGATGGCCGAAAGCACTCATACGCCCCGTTTTGCTGCAGCAACCACAATGGCAGCCAAACGAGCGGGCCATGTGTGCGAATGCGAGTGCAGCTCGAAAGCAAACTCGGGCACCGACCAGCAACCATGACACCAAGGAGCGGGGGAGTTCCTCGAAGCCGGAGGGGGAGGGGGAGGGGGCTGGCATATTCGTGCGCAATTTCGCGTTTGACGAAACATATAATCTTCGCACATTTCTATGGAAATGAATGGATTGGCGAATGCCTTGCTGGCTGCATTGATAGATGCAGGCCGGATTGATGGATACACGGCTGGTTGGCTGCCTGGCTGCCTGGCTGGTTGGCCAAATGGGATTGGTATTGGTTTCCCAACAAGACGGCCAGCCAGGGAAGGTAAGAGGGATGCGAGGGAAGCGAGGGGGGAGAGGCAGAAATAGGTGGCACATTTCTTTGCCGCTGCAGTTGCGTTGCAGCGTTCCCCCGCCGCCGCAGCATGCAAATGGGCTCCCCAGTCGGCTCCACGGGCCACACCCTCGAGTCCCCCTCCCCCTTCCCCTCCCCATCCCCTCCCCTGCCTCATCAAGAGGCAAGAGGCAGGCGCCCCAGCGTCGCTGTTTTTGGTTTTTTAGTCGTGTTCTACTTACGGAGCGAGTGCGCCGAGTGCGCTGGTGTGTGTGTGTGTGTGTGTGTGTGTGTGTGTGCACTCCGTGTGTTTTTCTGCTCTGCTCCTATGCAAATATGCAATTAAGTCGCCCGGCCGACTCTGCCATCGAGCGGCGTGTTTGCTGCCATCTAACATGGCATTCCGTCAGCAGGCGGACGAGGAGTCGCAATCGAAATCCGAATCAGAATCAGAATCAGAGTGGGAATTGGAATCTGAATCACAGCCTGAATCCGAATCCGCCGCAGACAGCTGCACCATCAATACGCTCATCGTCGCAAACTTGCCACAGTTGGCAATACGAGCGAGCCAAACCTGGGATTGGGGATTGGGGATTGAGGGTTGGGGATTGGCCATGGAATTGGAAATGGAATTGGAAGTGGAGGTGGAAGTGGAAGTGGGAGGGAGGGGCTGAAAGCCACCATGCGATTGGCCTAATGGCTGGTTCATGTGTGAGTGAAGTCCGACTTTGGCGATGGAATAGCAGGGGAGGCTGGACAAGATTATACAGATTGAAATGCCTATAATCACTGATGACCAGTATGCTTTGGTAGATAATGCAAACACTGTTTTGGGCTAAATCAAATAACTCTATTATTCATCTCTTCTAACTGCTTTAAGTGATTGCCAGCGTTTGGGGGAAAAGAGAAAGGACTCATAAGCGAATTTGGAACTTTCAACAATATTATCAGTGGGTAATCAAGCTATTTGACGTTCAAGGCGGCGTATACTTGATGTGCTTTTGCAGGCTTGCGTATACTTTATGTTCACTCCCCTCCTCCTCCGCCCATTTAACCCCTTATTCTGGATTAAAAATTTGCATCAAGTATGCAGGCTGCTAAATGCCCCAAGGTACAGAAATCGCAAAAACGAAAACAATGCCGAGTGCTTACAAAACGCTAAGCCCCAAACCGCAAAGAAGAAGAAGAAGAAGAGAGCGTGATGCCGCAACGAAAAACAGAAACAAAAACAAAAACAATAACAAAAATGCAGCAACCAAATTCCGATGAAAGCGCTGCTGCGTCTTGCGTCTTCCGTCCCGCCCTCCTTCCTTCCCTTCCTCTCTCTTCCCCGCTTCCTCTTTCTTTCTCTCCTTCTGCACGAGTGTGTGTGCAGAGGCGACGCCATGTTGCGTGCAGTACGCGTGCAGAAACATGCATACTCGCCTGTACATACGTGTATGTATGTATGTATATGTACAGCTGCATGCATATAGCAGAAGTTGCATACATACGTACTTATGTATGTAGGCACGTAACGCATTCGCATTCGCATTCGCATTTCGCATTATGGCCGACGCGAACGCTTGCGGCCAACATACATGGCTATCTGGCAGTGCGGCCATGTGGCTCTTTTCCTGGCTTCCCCCTCCACTGCTCACGTTGCTGCTTTGCGTGGCAGCCACCCGAGCAAAGCCCCGAAATCGGACACTCCGAAAAACCAATTCAAGTACGCTGTCAAATGTGTATTAAGGTTTCCCAACTTCACAATAAAAATAGTATTTAAAAGATTGT